GTTTTTCTTTTCAAGTGGTTTTTAATATCTTCTTGCTGCTGGGTTTTAACTAAATTTCTAGATTGGTTGCTCTTTGAAAACAAGTATCCAGTGAAGATTCATCCGAGTTTGGATGACAATGATAATATTAAGCAAGTGAATAATGTCAAGGTACATGGTTACCTTTGGTTAAAATCTTAGAATGCTTAAGAAATTAAATCTTGTTGTAAATGAAAATTGTTCTTTTAGCAACTTGTTGAATGAATGTTTCACTTAGGACTAAAAAACCACAAATTGTGAGGAAGCCTCCATTGTGTACTAAATGCTAGATTTCTAATAGACTTTGTTAATTCGTTTGATTCATGCTTTATCTTGTTATTATTGTAAATTTGTGGAAGCAATTAGAAATGAGAAAGACACTTGTTTATATTGAGCACAAACAATTCCAAATGCAACTTACCCATGAGCAGAGAGAATTCGTTAACCCCCTTTGAGCCTAAACAGTGTGAATATCAGTCTGAATTCTTGTGAGATTTAAAAAAAAATTCTTGAACCTTTAAATTTTGTTTTAATTGTGCTATTTGCCATAAAAATATAGGAGTATTCACTTGAGGGTTAAGTAAAAGCAAGTTGGGGAGAATGAAAAAGAAGATGGTAGGTTGCTACAACTTTTGAAAAATTCAAGCAAGCATTGGAAAAATTGTTATGTGATTATGATTGTAAAAAAAAAGAGAAAAATAATGCTTGCTTGGAAAAGAAAAATAATGAAAGAATAAGTTGTGAAATAAGAATTGGGAAGGTTTTCAATTGAGAAACAAAGGGAATGAAGTTGAGATGTGTAAATAACATGTACATTGAATGTCTCTTTTGCATTGGCAATTTCGTTTCAATGGCCTTAGGAATGTCCCTTGTTTGTAAACCCGACCAAGCTACAACCGTAAAAGACCTTAGTGATCTTCTTGCTTCCATATTTTCATTTTTGATTGTTAGATATTGTTTGAATTAGATTGATATTGGTATTGTTTGTTAGGTGAGTGAAATTATCCCCGCGATTGCAAACACGTAATTTCTTCAATCCTTTTTTGAAGAGGAGAGATAGGGTGATTCATTCAAGAAGACATAATTGTTAATTTATGCATGTTTTGAATTGCTTTAAGAATTTAGTTCTTGTGCATTATTTGATTCTCATCATTGGGAATCCATGTCTAGTTGCATTCCTTGTGTTTGAGCCATTTGATCCATTCTTGGAGATATCTTAATCTTGAGTAAATCCTCTTGTTTCAACAAGAGGCATACTTTGCTTGAGGGCAAGCAAAATTCTAGTTGGGAAGAGTTGTTAGATGCCAAACTTTGATTATTTGATCTATCAAATATGGACATATTTCATTCCTTTTTGTAGAGAAAGTGTTAAGAATCATTCTTGTTTTTGTTGATTTGCACCATTACGTGAAAATACCTTGGTTGCTTTGATTTGTGTGCTATTGTGCAGGAATTAGGCATGAAAATTTGAAGAGTATGACACAAAAATCATGACAAGGAAACCAAGTCAGCTTGAAAACATCAACAAGTTCACACAGTGAACCTGCTCAGAAAAACTTCAACAAGTTCACACAGCGAACTTGCCAACGAAGGCCATGAAAACCATGGTACTGTTCATCCAGAAAGAAAAGGGACCTAAGTTCGTTGTGCGAAGGAGGTAGCGAAGTATTCGCTGGAGCAAAGTGGAAGCAAATGCTTAGCGAGCACCCCTAGACATGAGGCAATAAGTATTTGGACAAGAATTCGCTGTGCGAAGTTTGCAGCGAAGTCTTCGCACTGTGAAGGATTCTTCGCACATCGAACATGTGGAAATACCTCAGGGGCGTCTTCACTGTACACAGGCACGTCAACTGCCAATTTGCATTGTTCGATAGGCGAACACTTTGTTTGCAGTGCGAGCATGACAACTCAACAACATGTCTATAAGTAGTATGTGGTACTTTTTGGGAAAATATCTTTTTTCTTGTACTTTTCTTTTTAGAGATTTTTCAGAGCTAAAACCCTAGTTTCTTCATTTCTCATCACCTCTTAGTCATCTTTCACAAAAAGAAGGTGGATTCCCATCCAATCTCGATTATTCGACTCGAATGTTGACCAACCTTCTTTCAAAACTTGTTGCTCCAGCTATCATGGAAATGGGTGGCTAAAACCCCTCTTTTGTCAAGGTTAGAGGTAGCTAGTTCAGATTTTATGTATTCTTCTTGATCTTTTATATGTGAACAAGACTTTGATCAATGTAGATGAATTTATTTGCTACCTTTTGTTATATTTATGGTCTGGATTGCTTTAGACATGAACTTTTCAAGTCTTGACCTAATTTCTTCATCTATCAACTATACAAACTCTAGACATAGGTTTGAAAGTTGATATTCGCTTTGTATTGATCTTAATGATCATTGTTTCGAGTGTTATCTAGAGAGATCATTTAACGGTCGAAACAATAACATTCCCGAAACCGCTTTAGAAATGAACGATTTTGCGAGGATACGCTATTATATTGATTAAAACTACGTTCACATATTTGATAGGTTGGATACGTTTAGGAGGAATTAGCGAACCCTAATCTTGGCATGTTTTTTATCGAACTAAGACCAAATTTTATTCTGTTTTATTTCTTGCAAACTCTTGTTACAAAAATAGAAACCATTTTAAAAACCCCCTTCTTAAATAATTAAACCATTGAACGACAAGCATCACATATTCTCATCAATCCCTGTGGATACGATAAAACACTACCAAAAAATACTTCTGACAACTGTATGCGTGCCGATCATCAGATTCACCACTGTGGAGATGCACAACAGTTACCGTGTCAAACTACAATTTAGAATGCATCAAAACATCCTAGATCCCCCAGTTGACCTCGGTATATAGCATCTAAAAAAAGTTAATGATCAATGGGACTATCCCGACTGGAAGGATTTTGCAAAATCTGAGTGTCGTAAATGGAGGAACTGTAATGCCCATGTCTTACGTGACCCGGTGATGGCAATCCCGCCTATACCAACTAATAATTATATGGCTTGATACATATCAGTTGCAATTGAGTTTGTCTCCGAAGAGAGGTATCTATACGACCTACGACAAATCACCTACATACAAGAAGTTTCAACGTCAAACCACCGAGAAATTATCGGCCATGTTACTCACAACCCCATACCCAACAAAATTACCAACCCATTAACACACAAACCCACCATCCAAGCATGCCAAACACCCAACCACAATACCAAAAGCGTCCCCCATACCATCTCCAACAAAATGACTATTATCAAGAAACTTAATATGTCTATGCCTCTAACACAACATTAAAATATAGCCAAAATGAGGGTACATCATACCATAGCCAAAACGCTCAAACATCTTTTCATAGCCAAAACGCTCAGACATCATACCCTAACCTGCACACTCAAACATCCCAACAACCTTATGACTTGAAAACACCACTACCATTTCAACCTTTCACCAACCAATCCTTCACACCAATGTCCCCCTTCAATCGTCCATGTCGCACACCAATGACCCCTTCATCACATCCGAACTACTCTGTCATGGGTTGCACGCTCTGTTTCAACACATAAGACCTCATGGAAATGCAAGAAATTCTTAGGGAATCAGTTGAGAATGTTCCTGAGACTTCAACTCCTCAAACACCTGAAGTGAATCAACAACTGATAAAACGAGTGTAATGAGAGAAATGAGTGCAACGAGTGAGAGTGCCTAGGAAATGTGGAACCGGTGGCCGGTATGACCAACCTGATCGCCAACATTAATTTATGTAATATTATTTTTAATTAATGATTAATGTTATTTATTTTTGTTAAATTTTTTTTAGACAATGCATCATGTCTCCATATCAATTGACGTCTCCCTTTTAATATTAACACCCAACCCCTAATTGAATTGGCAACAACATATAGTGTCTTCAATCTAATTGGTGACATCACTAAAGCCCATAAAATTGTCGTCAATTGACATGGCGTCACCTCTCTATCACACTTCTAAAGTGGAGTACTTTGAAAAATAACTTGAAAAATGAGATATTTTTAATTTTATTTTTAAAATAGATTATTCTGATAAAAACTTCCCAAATTTCTTAAACACAATTAATATTTATGGACTTCCAAACTAAAGATTGAAATTTAAAGTTAGAATTTATTAAAAAATATTGATAAATCTTTATAATTTATGCATTAAAACTCGACTAATAATTATAAAATGAGAAAATATTAAAGAAGGAAAGGTTATCTCAAAAAAGTAATATCAAAGATAAAGTGTTTATACCTTATTCTCCTTGACACCATTCTATTTTAGAATTGGTTTTACAGTTTTATTTTTCTTATTTTACCATTTGTTTACTCCATTTTAATTAGGGTCAGGCTAATCAGTGCCCTCAGGGTACTAGTTAAAAATTTTAAATAAAGAAAATATGTTATATTTAGTTCACTCAATACACACAATATTTTTTAAAAAGTCTAATTATTTTTCTTTTCAAGGCATTGAATTCATATATATTTAAAATTTTTTTTTTTAATCTCTTAAATAATGTTCAACTTACCATTTTAATCTCTTAACCAATACCCTGAGGACACTCGTTAGCATTTCCCTTTTAATTATATAACTCTGCACTTTTCTAAATAATCAAAATTTAATAACTTAGATTGGTCCAGTAATACTAATAACTGCTAGAATGAAAAAGTTGACACATAAATAATGCAATCTGCGGCTTGTGTTATTAAGACATTACTAGTAATATTTTATTAAAAAATTAAATCCTAACATTGCATTCTGATTTCAACATGTAATTTCATATACTTTACTTCAATCATCTTTATTATAATTATTCTTCCATTTTATAGTATTCCCATCATGAGTTTGAAAGTCTTGTAGTTCAACCAAAACCACTTTACAAATCAAAGTACTGAATCTATGTGCTAAATCTTATCACTTACCCAGAAGAACACTTTGAGGTGGTGAATACAATGATTGGGCGTAGAGAAAGAGAAGGACCCTTGATGCGAAACAACCCTCATTCTCTACGAAAATCAAAGATCGTTACCGCTGTAGTAATTGGTGTTCTTATTGGATGCGTCTTAGCTTTCTTCTTCCCCAATGGCTTCTTTGTTTCTTCCTCTATTGCCTCAAATCCTCGCCGACCTGTTGTTCGATCCAAAACCCAGGTTCAGTTTTCGTCAAAGATTGTAGCTTTTGTGTTTTTCTTTCGTTTTTGAATTTTGGGTTTTATCTTAGTTTTTAACCTCTTGCTTTTCATTTTCGTTGACTCGAAATTTTTGTCTTCTGAGTTCTGACTTTACTGTTTATATTTTGTCATTTTTATTTTGTTTCATCTTGCTGATTTTACTAACTGTGGGTCATTGAGGGATTGTGTTTGATGTTATTGATTTTGGTTTACTCGAAAATTTCGGAATTTGATTATCTTAGATAGATGGGTTACTTGAATACACAACATCTGTTATTAGTTTTGTTAGTCATATGAATTAAGTTGGGACAAAAGTGATGCCAGTTTTTAATCCAACCAATAGCGGCACTATAGCGGGATAGTAGAGTCTGGCCGCAATAGGAAGAGCTTTAGCGGTGCCGAACACTGTAGTGGCCACTATAGGGTAAATAGGGGGATGGCAGAGTGGAGCGGTTTCTGACTTGCTATCCTTTTTTCCTCTATAAAACCAAAATTACCCCTTAAATTTAAAATGTGTTTAGGATAATTTTGGGTTTTTCAATCAAATTTAAGTTGAGACTCCTCCATCGTCTCTCTCTGCTGTCGTACTTCCCTCTCAGCCGTCGTTTGTCATTTGATTTATGAATGTTTTAGGGGTCATGAGTTATTTGTTTAATTTTACATTAAATATATGTTTATAATTATTATATGTAGTTTGTCCAAAAAATGATCAAATAGAAGTCATCCCACGATACGCTATCCTACTATCCCACTTTTGGGGCCAGCCGCTCCGCGCCATTATCCGGGATTGACTACTCAGTTATAATCTCTAGTTCAATGTAGTCATTATTTTGCCAAGATTTGTTTCTATGGAAGAAAACACTTCCCATATTTTCTACATTTCTCTGATTGAGGATAAAACTCTCTCCTGGAATTATGTTTGGCATATGCTTTTAGTTGTTAGATGTGGCTTGATATTGTTAAGCTTCTCGCACATGCTTAAAAAGTAAAGAGGTTTATTGGTGGTTTTCTTGCATAGAACGACGTAGAATTTTAACAAACTACTGTTTGGTGTTCCCCAGTATGTGATTTAGTACAAAGCATTGTCAAATAAAGAGTATAGCTGCGCTACAGTACAATAGCGCAGCGAGGTTTGTACGAATTCCAATTTTCTACAATACGCTATTGATAACACTGCATACTACAAAGCAGCTATTTATTTACTGCGATTTCTATAGGCAAATATTTTCCCTCGTTTTACTGGTTTTTGGATTTGGTTTATTGGATAAGGTATCCTTCTATGAAAATTGCATAACAGGCATAAATTTTATCATGATTTTCTTTTTTGGCAGGAAAAATCAGCTGAATGTGAATCATCAGATAGAGTCAACATGTTGAAATCAGAATTTGTGGCAGTATCAGATAAAAATGCTGAGCTGAAAAAACAGGTGAGAGAGTTGACTGAAAGGCTTCGGCAAGCCGAGCAAGGGGAAGATCAGGCTCAGAAACAGTTTCTTGCATTGGGTAAACAAGAAAAAGCCGGACCTTTTGGTACTGTCAAAGGATTAAGAACCAATCCTACTGTTCTTCCTGATGAATCTGTGAACCCGAGACTGGCGAAGATATTAGAGAAACTCGCAGTTAAACGAGAGATCATAGTTGCACTAGCAAACAATAATGTGAAGGAGATGCTCGAGGTTTGGTTCACCAATATCAAGAGAGTTGGTATACCCAATTATCTCGTTGTCGCTTTAGACGACGAGATTTCAAAGTTTTGCGAATCAAATCAGGTCCCGTTTTACAAAAGAGACCCGGATGATGGTATTGATACTATCGGGAAAGATGGAGGGAACCATGCTGTCTCGGGGCTTAAATTCCGTATCCTGAGAGAATTTTTGCAGTTGGGATATAGCGTTCTTCTATCAGATGTCGACATCGTATATTTACAGAATCCTTTTAATCATCTATACCGTGATTCAGATGTCGAGTCCATGAGCGATGGTCATAATAACATGACAGCTTATGGCTTTAACGATGTCTTTGACGAACCTGCAATGGGTTGGGCTCGATACGCACACACAATGAGGATATGGGTTTACAACTCCGGTTTCTTCTATATCAGACCCACCATTCCTTCAATTGAGCTTTTGGATCGTGTTGCAACGCGTCTTTCCAATGAGAAGGCATGGGACCAAGCCGTTTTCAACGAGGAACTCTTTTATCCGTCGCATCCTGGTTATGATGGGCTTCATGCTGCAAGAAGAACTATGGATATGTATCTCTTTATGAACAGCAAGATTCTTTTCAAGACAGTGAGGAACGATGCTCACCTCAGCAAACTGAAACCGGTAATTGTTCACGTGAATTACCACCCTGATAAACTTCCACGAATGAAAGCGGTTGTCGAGTATTATGTTAATGGGAAGCAAGATGCTCTCAAACCTTTCCCTGAAGGATCAGATTAGTAACCTTGTTTCTGTGTCTTAGTTATTCAAAACATTTCCACAGTACATTTCATTAGTGATAAAGCATGTGTAGGTAAAGACAGATATCTTTATGAGCACGTTAAATTATGCTTTTGCTTTCATTTTGAGACTGTAATATTTTCTCTGGTTATTCCCACTTAGTCTCACATAAGATTTTTTCTGTAACATTTGTTGTATTCTAATTTAGTTTTTTGTTTTTGTTTTTATCTTATCCTCATATACACATTGTTAGCAAGCTTGTGTGCAATTTCAGGGAGTTGGAACTTTAGGCAGTGGCATTGGAAAATACATGATATCATACACATTTGTAAGAAAATGAAACTTGGAATAAAATTTATATGAAACTTGAGTGGTCTTGGGCTGTGTATTTTTTTATATTGGAGTTGCATGGTATTGATTGTGTGCTCATGAAGGATTTATTGCAGTTCAGGTGTATGCATTTATATTTATTATCAACTACAGTATTTACTGCAGTACAGATTAATTAAAATTTATTAGAAATTGTGTATTAAAATTAATACAAGATTACAATTAATAAATTTATTATTTTTTTCAATACAAATTTTTTATTTATAGATTTTTTAACATGTGCTCCAAAAGCACAAGTTAGCATTACCCTAAAAAAAAGAATATCAAGATTAGTAGGGTAATAAGAATACCAAGATAAGATAAGTTGTTAATGACATGGTAAAGCAGAGCAGTTATTTGCCAAAGTCCTATTAAGATACTTGTGCAGAGAGAGTACATATTTGAACTGCGATATTTCATTTATTTATTTTTAAAGGTGAATATTAACCATTAAACTACTGATTCAAAATAAATTATTCATCAAAAACCAGAAAACAGTTAAATAATTTTTAATTTAAGCATTTGAGGTGTAGGACAAAACAATATCAACTTCTCTAGAACCTTTGTAAACCAATATTACTAATATATCATTTATCTCTATATCTATTAGTGTGAATGGTCTCCGTCTCATAAAAAAATATATCTTAGTGTGGTTCTTTAAAAAATAATTAATGTGTTAATTTTAACAATAAAATTAATAATAAATATTCTTGTGGATTACAATTAGTGAAATAATTTAATATATTGAAAGTTAATAAATAAGTGTATAATAATAAAATAATTGTGAGATGTTGGATCGAACTCTAGTATGGTCGAAGTCTGTTCGCGAGTAATGCGTGTTGTAGTCGAAGTTTGTTCTAACATGCATTAGTCAATATTGCTAAGGTTGTTAGCATGTTGAATTGGGTCTTGCTCGTAAGTCCAATTGTTTAAGTTAGCTTGTATCCTAAGTTAGCTTGTAATAGGTAATTATTAAAAAGCCCATTAGGTTAGTGTGCTATTTTTCTTATAAATAAGATACTAGTTTCTCAATCTTGTCATAAGGAAAAATAGAAAGATAAAATTCTAATTTCAAGAGAGAGAGGTTATTTTGTTATTCTTATATACTTGTAATCTTGTTCTAAGAGAAATGAAAGAATAACAGTTTAATAACCAATCTTTGTTGCTTTCTTCTTTATTAACCCTAACCTTTGTGTGTTTCTTGATCATTAAGAAACTGTTAATACTTAGTTTTAAGGTATCCGATTCACAACAAATTGGTGCAGTGAGTGTGGAGAAGATGCCTTCAACAAAGTATGAGATTGAAAAGTTCACAGGAGTGAATGACTTCGGTCTGTGGCGCTTGAAGATGAAAGTCCTATTGGTTCAGCAGGATTGTTTGGAAGCGTTGAAGGGTGAGGTAGCCATGGACGCTGCATTAACGGCAAAAGAAAAGACGGGCATGATCGAGAAAGCCCACAACGCAATATTGTTGAGCCTTGGTGATAAGGTTCTTCGACAGGTATCAAAGGAGACTACAACATCAGGATTATGGATGAAACTTGAAAGTTTGTACATGACCAAATCTCTAGTGAATCGACTCTACCTGAATCAAGTTTTATATTCATTCAAGATGAGTGAAGACAAAGTGTTGGCTGAGCAGTTGGATATGTTCAACAAGCTGATTCTTGATCTTGAAAATATTGAGTGAAGATCGATGATGAAGATCAAACACTGTTGTTGTTGTGTGCTTTGCCCAGAACACATGCTCACTTCAAAGAAACTCTCTTGTATGCAAGGGAGTCCCTGATCTTTGATGAAGTTCAATCAACCTTGTATTCTAAGGACTTGAACGAACGAAAGGAGCATAAACCTTCGACGGTGGGCGAAGGTTTGACCGTTAAGGGAAAATTCTTGCGAAAGGATGGTAAGTTCGACAAGAAGAAAGGTAAAGGTCAACAGAAGTCTTATAGTGGCAAAACATCTAGTATTCGATGTTATCACTGTAAGAAGGAGGGTCACATAAGAAAGGTGTGCCCCGAACGCCTGAAAGATCATGGAGCTAATGGAAATGCAGCCATTATTCAAGATAACTTCGACTCATTTGATGTTCTTGTGGTTTCAAGTGGCGACTCGAGAAAAGAGTGGATTATATGGATTCAGGTTGCACTTGGCACATGACTCCAAATAGAAAATTGTTCGAGGAGCTATGTGATCAAGATGGTGGATCTGTGCTACTGGGAAACAACAAATCTTGCAAAATTGCAGGTATTGGATCTGTGAGATTTAAGCTCCATGATGAATCAATAAGGTTATTGACTGAAGTCAGGCACGTACCTGACTTGAAGAGAAATTTGATTTCTCTTCGTGAATTCGACAAAAAAAGATACATTTTTCAAGGAGAGAAAAGTATCCTAAGAGTCATGAAGGGGTCTAAGGAAGTCTTGAGAGGCGTGAAGAAACAAGGCTTGTATACCCTTGAGGCTGAGGTTGTAAGTGGTTCGACAAATGTTGCATCCATGAAACCTACATCGAAGACAAAATTATGGCACATGAGATTGATCCATGTCAATGAAAGAGCCCTGGTCGAATTGGGGAAGTAGAACCTGCTAGGAGGTGACAAAGTCGAAAAGTTAGAATTTTGTGAATCTTGTGTATTTGGTAAATCATGTAGGGCGAAGTTTAACAAAGGCAAGCAAAGAACACATGAATCCCTGGATTACATTCATGCTGATCTTTTGGGGCCTGCGAGGAATCCTTCACACTCAGGTGCAAGGTATTTTCTATCCATCGTTGATGACTATTCCAGAAAGCTATGGATATTCATTCAAAAGTTGGAAGATTCTAGTCGAAACTCAAACTGGCAGAAAGGTTAAGAGGTTGAGAACCGACAATGGCCTTGAATTCTGCAACGAAACGTTCAACAGTTACTGTATTGAGTCTGGGATTGCAAGGCATAAGACTGTAGCAGGTACTCCTCAACAAAATGGCTTAGCTGAGAGATTCAATCGAACAATCCTTGAAAGGGTTAGATGCATGTTGGTTAGTGCTAGATTGAAGAAGGTGTTTTGGGCGGAAGTTGTTTCGACAACAACTTACCTGATAAATAGATGTCCTTCGACTGCCTTGGAAATGAAGACACTTGAAGAAGTTTGGTCAGGACATCCACCTAGTCTCGACAGACTGAGAGTATTTGGCTGTGTGGCCTATGCTCACATTAGGCAAGACAAGGTTGAACCTAGAGCTCTGAAATGCATGTTCATGGGATACCCTGAAGAAGTCAAAGCTTATAGGCTATGGTGCCTAGAGCCAGGTCACAGGAGGTGTATCACCAGTCGAGATGTAGTTTTCAATGAAGCCGAGATGGCTTTCAAGAAAACTGATGATGCTGACGAAGAGCTGGAACGGGGAGAGATTCCTGTTGAGGTGGAGCATGTTGATGCTGAATTGCTTACCCCAGATGAAGTCGAAGAAGATGCAGAAGATGTTGTCGAAGATGAGGAAACTGATAATGACGACCTGCTAGCAAGAGACAGGTCGAGGAGAGTCATCAAGCCACCTCAGAGACTTGGGTATGCAGATCTTATAGCTTATGCCTTAATCTCTGCAAGTGAGGTTCTAGACGAAGAACCTAGAGACAATAAGGAATTTATGAGGAGTCGAAAAAAGACTGAGTGGCTGAAGGCCATGGATGATGAGATGAAATCTCTTTATGATAACAATACCTGGGAAATGATCAAGAAACCTATTGGAGCCAATTTAGTCAGTTGTAAATGGATTTTCAAAGTTAAGGAAGGAATCGAAAGAGTGGCGTCGAAGAGATACAAGGCAAGATTGGTTGCTAGGGGGTTCACTCAGAAAGAAGGTATCGACTTCAATGATATGTTCTTTCCTGTTGTAAAGCACAAATCCATTCGAATGTTTCTTGCCATGGAGGCCCAGTTCGACCTTGAACTGGAACAAATGGATGTGAAGACTGCGTTCTTGCTTGGTGATCTAGATGAAACAATCCTGATGAGGCAACCTGAAGGGTATGTCGAAAGGGGGAAGGAAGATTATGTGTGAAAACTGAATAGATCTTTATATGGACTGAAATAATCTCCTCAACAGTGGAATAGGAGATTCGACAAGTTCATGGCACATATAAGTTTCATCAGAAGTCAGTTTGACCACTGTGTTTACTTCATATTTCGACCGAGTAATTCATTTGTTATTTTGTTGCTCTATGTGGATGATATTCTAATAGCAATCAACAATGTCGAAGAGGTAATGAGGGTGAAGGCTGAACTCAATAAAGAGTTCGACATGAAGGATCTTGGAGTTGCGTCCAGGATTCTTGGGATTGACATTCGTAGAGATAGAAAGCAGTCGAAATTATGCTTATCTCAAGAGGCATACCTACAGAAGGTTCTCGAAAAGTTTGGTATGTCGAATTCAAAGCCTATTGTGACTCCGACAAACCCTCAATTCAAGCTGAGTATAGATTAGTGTCCCAACACTGATGTTGAAAGAACTTATATGAATAGCATTCCATATTCTAACATAGTAGGTTCTTTGATGTATGCTATGATCTGTACTAGACCCGACATAGCATGTGCAATAAGTCTTGTAAGCAGGTACATGGCAAATCCTTGAAAGGCTCACTGGCAAAC